TCTACCATTGCGCTGTGCTGGCATCCAAGCTGGGAGGAGAATGGGTTCCCATTGGGCTGCAGCAAACTTCTTCTTCCCTCCCCAGATGCTCATCCCGTCCGACCAGCCATGTCCCCATGTGGCTCGGGAGGACCATTACAATAGATGGGGGAAGGGCACCAGAGGAGGGCAGAGACCAGCCCGCTGCTGACAGGGATCAGCTTCCATCTGCTCACGGCATTCTTGCCATATCAGACAAGTCAGCACCCCCCTTGCTCCCCGCCTGCCATTATCCAGCACCGAGGTTTGGTGGCATGGGAAGAATTTCAGCCCACGTGACATTGGCCAGACGGATAACAAGAGTCACTGCTTCAGCTGTACCGCAGCTGCCACTTATGCTCTGCACGGACCAGCCGCTCCACCGCCCGTGGCAGGGACCCTGCCGTCAGGAACACGGGACTGGCAGGGGCCTCTCGGGCCACTGAGTCCAGCTCCTGGCACTTGCAGGCAGCATTTGCCCAAGGGCTTCCCCAGAAATGCCATGTCAAACCCTCGTGTACAGCTTGAGCCTCCAGGCAGGGCCTGCCATGCAAACTTTGGAGAAGGTGGAGAGGGATGAGGGCCCTGCTGCTACCCCATGGCACCCTGTGCTCCTCAGAGGCCTGTGCAACACCTTGGCAGCTGCAGGAGGAGGCTGAGATGCATCTCTTGGGGCTGTGCTATGGAGGAAGGGGGTGCTGGCTACCAGGTAGCTTTGCTCACAGACCTGTCATGGGGGGGGCAAAACAGCTCATTGAAAGCAAATACTGGGAGTTCACTCTCCCTCTGCTGCCAGCCCCTTTCCCAACACAGGGGGGGAGCTTCTTCCCCTTGCACACAAGCTGCACTCAGGGATGCACCTGCACACCTAAGTCCAAGTGAGGAGGTGGGGGCACAGCACAGACTTGGTGCCCGGGGTCCCCTCCCAGGGGTGGAGGAGGATGAAGGGAGAGGCAGGCTGCCCGGTGTTTCTTACAGGGAGGTGGGAGGAGGAGGCAAGACTGGCTTTGCTTTTAGCAGCCCTGAAGCTGCGCCACCTTCAGCCCCACGCTCAGGAAGGCTGCGATGCTCACTGCAGCCTCGGGCGTCCGAGGGAAAGAGCAAGGGGCCGCATCCTC